ATCTGCACAGCATGTTGCAGTAGACAAAGCAGCGGAACTCCTATAAATGACAAAGGCTCTGGGAAACCAAGGTGCAATATTTGGTTGGAATCTTTAAACGATAAAGCGCAAATGAGAATTCAAAAAATTTGAATGAAACTAAAACCTTCTCCCATTTCTCACAGCGATCATTTGTTGTTGCCCTTCCACCATCAACAAGTAATAAACTCTCATTTACTGCGGAGATATCATCCATTAAGAAGCTAGAGTATTTGCTAGTTGATACTGTGAAAAATGAAGGGGTCGGAGTAAGATCAAGAGTACTGATCACAAAGAGGCAACTAAACTTGAGATGGATACCGGATTCGAAGCTTTGCGAACTCGAGAAAGTACCAACACTAGAACAACAAGTCATCTCTACAAATAGTACTTAGATATTAATATAACTCACAACAGGGAATTGTAACGAAATAAATAGGAAACTTAGGAAAAAAAACTTTTTTTTGTCTAATACACCTCTTTTTAAGACCTTCAACAATCAGTGGGTTAATCAGCCATGGTGTTAAATCGCTGAGGAGAAAATCGTCACTACATATATGTTCCATCTTCCCGATAAAGCTGTGATTTCTCGAAAATTTTTATGTCCTTTAAGACATATTTTGATGAAAGCAATTTATGTGGTCAAGTCGACTTGTCGAATATTCGATCCTTAGGGGGCTTAACGGGGGAGAAACGAAAGGAAACAACAATTTACATAAAAATCATCAATAAAGGCAACATTGACATGGGACACGCGTCGAATGGAGCGGATATCCATCGTATGTCATATCCCTATCGTACGTGCGTAACATGCAGTGCATTTGTGTGGGAGGTTATACATTGATTGTTTTGCTTCAGCAGACGGGTGCTTGTCTGGGTATAAATATAGGGTGCAGAAGTGCGAGAGAGCACTTTAATCCTTTTTTTGGTAAATCTCTGGCAAAAGAAGCGCCACTACACTGCATCACCTACTTTTCTCTCACATTTGGTTCCTTGTTCGAATATTGGATCGAACAGTGGAAGATGTAGAATGAGAGTTTCTGTTTTACAACCAGCGCAAAGTCAAGGGAAAATTCGAACGCACAATTCCATTTGCGAAGAGCTTTATTATCAAGAATATTTCGAGTCACCAGCAAAGGAAAGAGTGAAACTTTTAAAGGAGAAAGCATCCTGTTGTTTTGAATTGAAATATGAGCTTCTCTCCAAACGTGGCCAAAGAAGTTGGCCAACAGGACGGACGATCACGAGGGACATTCGTGCTCAATAGAAAATTAGAAGATGAGGTTTTCAGGTTTAAACTGGGTTCCGAAATGTATTTGAAGGCATTATAAGGACCGACAACTGATCTCCCTCATGCGAGGGATATGGAGCCGCTTTGTCGAAAGGGTACGTGGCGCGTCTCCAGACGCCGGATAGGGCTTGATTGCTAGCTAAAAGCGATCGTTGCTATCCTGGCGATACAGGTGGATCCATGGATCGAATTCGTTTCTTCTGCGTCGATTTGGCATATTCCACTTCGCGGGGCAATATTGATATGCGATTCTAATAGTACTAGTCCTAAAATAACCTTACAAAGGAAGCTCGAAAATCTTTTGAGTAATTCACACATCTCAGCTTCAAAAAACAACCGCAAGCATGTTTTTTACGATTCTGATATTAATCAAAATAAAGTGGATAAAGCACCAAAAAAATCTAGCGTCACCTTACCTGGAGGCAAGACCACACCTGATAACGCGCGCACGCTTCTAGATTGGACCCAGGCTTTTCACCGTCGCAACCCATTTCTAAGACAACCGTGCGTAGGATCGCATGGGGTTTGTATGAACTTCAACATCGACTCTGCTATAAGGCCAGAAAAGAAACATCAAGTAGAAATGAAAATGAAGAGATGGCACTGTTATTTCGTCCTCCTTTTTCTAGAGCGCGCTTCAGAAAGCAGGAACCCAACGTCGAAATTGATGCAAAGCTTCACATGTTTTCGGAAGATGCTCTCAATGCCCTTGTCCAGTATGACAGCGAAGGTATATCTCTAACCTCGCAGACGCACAAAAGTGTGGTATGCGAGAAATTAGAGAATTAGTAAATTCAGAGACCATTAGACTATCATATAGCGATAAGGGGAAGAGTTCATAGTTATTCCTTGCCAGTTAGATGTTATGAGAGCGGAGGAACTTCTTAATGATGTTACCCTTTGTCGCCCATCGTCTGAAAAGGAATACGAAAGACAATACCGAAAACTTAACAATGAATCACAGTAGCAAAGGCGGCGAAAGTAAAACCATCCGTTATTTCGCATTCAGAAGTAGATCGACCAACATGTCCCTTCTATACTTACTTAATAAAGTACAGAAGTTAGTATCAGCTGATGATCTCGCGTCTACCAATCCACTCTCGTACAAGGTTAGACCCACTAACAGCTGTGTAGACGGGCCAACGGATTGAATAACACTGTTCCTAGGGTGAATACTTACCCAATTGCATTGCCATATTACAGCTTACTCCACGAACACCCAGATGTTCCTAGAACGTCTACGTAACGCGTCTCTTAACAACGCGTGCGTGATGGAGTCTTTCGATGTTCCCGCGCTCTACACCAACGTATCGAGTAACTCCGCAATGCAAGCCATCCACGAACTTCTTGTTGAATGTGAAGGTGGCATGCAAATGTCTATTGTTCAACGGCTTATGGCTCTCTTAAAAGAGAGCCTAAACTATTCGATTTTCAGATGGTTTGAGAATTATTACGCCACACACATTAGAGGGCTGGAAATGGGACAGCGGTTGGCACCAACTCTCGCCATTGCATTCATGTCCAGAATAGAAGCCCCCATTATCGAACACCGCCGCTACTTTACTGCAGATGTATAAATGATTGTTTTGTCATCTTTTCTACTCAGGAGGAGATGGACAAATTGTTTGAATTATTGAATGGGCAGTCTGAGCACATTAAATTCAGCCGGGAGAAATCGAATTAAAATTGGCTTCCATTCCTCAACGTTCAAGTCAACTTATCAGATAGCGGCTACGTGACAACATGGTATCGAAAACCAAGTAATAAGAACAACCTGTTTCATTTCCTCTCTTTCCACCCTTCACACGCAATGAGGGCTCTTGTGAGAAACATGTTTCGAACGGCCACCTCTGTGTGCAGAAAGAGGGAACTAAAGGAGCAATTGCGCGACTTGGCTCGGCAAATAACCATCTCTAATGGCGGCGAAGTGGCCACTACACGAGATAAACGTGGAAGGTGAGCGACGAGCCAAAAGGAAGCACTTGGCCAAGAGGAAGTACCGTTTATGCTCCCTTTAATTAGTAATGAAATAAGTGTAGCTGTAAAACGATGCTTAAGAAGTGCTCTAAAGTAATCGGTAGCGATAACTGAAATACCACAGAATACTATACGTCGTCAGTTAGTTCGTAACCGCCTTTATGACCGTCTATATAAAACACCAAATTGCGTAATTTGCCCTTATGGCAGGGACAGTGACTACATGAGTTCAGGTACGATATACCTAACCTTTTGTAAGTTATGGAAATGAATATATTGGCGAAACGGGCGGACCTTCATGTACCCTCATAAAAGAACAACTAGTTGGAAATCACGAAAAGCAAGACAAAGTACCCCCACTAGGCTCGCATAGAATACAAAGGCATAAGGAAGGCGATTTTGATGTAAAAGTTGCTATCCTTGCACAGGCACTAAAACACCAACGCGTAACCCTTCTCAGGCTTTTTGGACTAATGCCGAAAACCCTACATGAATAGCAGGAAGTAATTCCCAGAGGTCTCACGCACCTGGCCCCGTATCTTCGCATCAGTTTCTGATGTGGGGTGGTGCAGTCATCAAATATATGCGACTATAATCGGCTGTTCTAATCTTCTTCAGTGGAAGTCACATTAAAAGCGGTGGTTATTTCAAGAAGCTGTTGATCATGTAATTTCCACAGAGTTCTTCAGTTTTCTGTATGTGTTATTGAAGCGTTTGGACTAGTAGATTGTATATCAGTAAACCTTTCCAGGCTCTGAAGAAGGCGATACTGCCGAAACGTCAGCTACTGTTGTATTGTGTGTTTTTGTATGGAAGTAAATGTATGCTGTGTAACAATCTTGCGATTGCTGAAGAAGAAAACGATGCTGAGATATTTGCAAAACTCCGTCCGGGGGCTAACCCTTTCAACACCACACCATATGCGTCATTCGTTTCGTCTATCTCTTAGCTAGTTCTATCGATCAGTGCCATCAAAAATCACCCGTCAACGATATTGATCGGGGAAGCCCAAATCGGCAATGAGCACATTTTGATTGAGACTGTATTCGAAGTCACAATGTTAAGCTTTTTATTTACTTTTGCTTTTTTATAAATCTAGGATAACCGTTGTGAAATTGAATATAAACAATGTCGCGCTTTACATTTTCATTGCAAATACCTTACCAGCCAGATTCTCTTTGGGATTCCTCAAATCGGGCGTCGGTGACTATGTCTATATTTTGAAAATAAATGATGGAAAAGGAATCTTGCTGTTTCGTAAAATCATATCTCTCAAATCAGTTCTAACAAAGTGAGTGATAAGCTTGCTTATTAGATGTCTTATAAGAAATAATAGGGAAAATCGAGATCAAAAATATCATGTTCTTTCTGCCCTCAGGTGCTTTGCAACTGAAAGGTTGACAAGAATCCGAAGTGATCCCAGTCAACAAACATCGAGTTTTTGAGAATTGTTAAACTAAAATAAAATCTTTATTGTTCAATGTGCTGTAGAATTTGTCAAAGATATCTTTAAATGTCGCCAAAGCCTTTAGAACATCAGTGTTTAGCTTATGTCTTGCTAGTAGAACACCGCTTAGGACATTGTTATAACTATGTTGGCTTAAGAGTTCTAAAGAAAATTGATTTTTATCTAGAGATCATATGAAATAATGCTTGCGGCTAAGCCGTGAATTTCTAATTTTCAGTTAATCTCAACTCCAATGCACTGAAAGGTTTGCCCGATTTGAGAGTGCTAGACCTCTCTAACAACGAGATTGTACTTAAAGAGAGTGATGTCGACTTTTTAACACATACTCCACGATTGACTCAGGTAATCTAGAACGAAGTTTCTTGAAATGAAAAGGTGGTTGTGAACAGCTGATCTTTTATTCTGTCCTAAACCTGGTGTAATTTTTTGCTCAAATGAGCGTACGAAAACATAACTTCTGGCGAGTAGTTAGTGATGTGATAGGTTAGTACTGCCCACTCACCACTGGTCAGATTTATTGACGAATGGACTCGAGAACCACATATTATCCACTGATCAGTTGTATTTTCTCAAGGTATCCCAATGTCGATTGTTTTCAAAATGTTACCAAATTCATATTTTTCTGTACGATTTGATTCCGATGACTTATCGGTGAAATTCAACTCATGCAACTATCACTCTACGATTGAAGATGTACTTGCACTAGCACATAGACCGATCTCGAAGTTCGAATTATTTTATTTACTGTTACAAACTTTATTCATTTAGTAATCCTTGGTCTTTCTGTATCTATGTTTTTTCGGAAAGCTGTCATGAGATAATTTATGATTATTGTGTTCCTCTAGGGGCGGAGTCGGAGAAGCTATGAACGCAAATATTTGCCACTAGAACTAACATTGATGGAGATACTCCTCCTCTTGACACATTTAAAAAGCCCCACTTACAAAACCACTAAGCAGCACAACATCTTGGAACATTCTTCGTAATATGCTAGTTTTCTTTTCTCCTATTAGTATTTTTACGTTTTTCTGTTTATTGTTCACTGATCACCGTATTCTTTGGTTTTTACTTCACTTTAAATGTTTTCAATTAGCTTTTAGAGGCTGTTCTTTAAAACTTACTTGTATTTCACATTTATCTTTCATTTTGCTTTTTCCATAATTCTGTAGCAGTTTTTTTTGAATTAGTAAGTTTGAAAATAAGTTCCATCGAGAGTATATCGTTTATATAACTAAATATTTCAACAATAACCTCCTTAGATTGTTAGGCCAACACGGCATTGATAGCGATACTTATTGGGTCAACGTCTCGACGTTTTTGTTGTTAAGCTTTCTCTCTCTCTCTCTCTCTCTCTCCCTCTCTCTCTCTCTCTCTCTCTCTCTCTCTCTCCCTAAAAGAATGGAGCATGTGTAATGCAGTGGCTAGAGGCGCTCTCCAATGCACTTAGGTTCGATCCCCTTTCCCAGCCCGTCAAGCCTTCCATCCTTCCGAGGTCAGCAACTTTGTGCCGGGATTGTCCAGAAGGATAGAAGGATAGCAATACTGCCCCGACTCATCGGTAGACCACTGCGAGTCATTGTATAGGCCAGATCACTTTTCACGTAATCTCTAACGATGCTTAGTGAAGTCGAATGCATGACCCATTCCTCAGGGTTTATCAACTCCGAAAGCTTAATCCTCTCTTGTTTAATGCCCATCTTAAATGACGGTCAGTTTGAAAAGTACTTTTGAGGCCTGGAGTGTTTTGTTCAGAAAGTCTTGCGATCTAATGTTTTTTTACATTTTTTGTTATTATTGGTGTTATTATCTATTCGTATTACATCAGTATTATATTATTATGGTTTTTTGACATCAAAAATGTTTGATGTTAGTGTACTTATGCATGTTCTCATAGTTACTTATATTGTGTTAATTAAAAGAAGCTAAAGATCGTATAAATTCCACAATGACGAGTGACACGGGGCAGACCCTGGCACTAACTAAGGCACTTACTCCACCATCGATACCGTAAGAATAGCCCGAGCGTAGCACTCCCCGACGAGTTATATGGCGGGTTCAATACCACGTCTTCGGTTAACTACATTTTCTGTCTCTTTGTGGTCTGTCATTCTGAGACCAGAATTGTCTAGGAGAATATAAATACTAACTTCTTACATCGAAAGGCTCCGGCAAGTCAGTGTATGCGCCAAATAGGCATTAAATCACTTATGAGTGGAGTTAAACGCACTGCGTAGTATTGCGTGTTTGATGGACACCGAACGCTTTTTACCTTATTCACGCTTTGTTCGTATTAATAACTGTGTATTTCATTCCAGTTGTACTTACGACGAGCATTCACTGCTACGATAAATAGAACGATTCAATTTGATTTGATGATGAGAATGTTCAGGAGGGCGAATCTGAAATATTTGGAGGTGGGCTCATTCATCCACAGCTTGCTATACATTGTTTTACTAGTTATTTCTAACCAAACTCAGCAAAATAGCAAGACGCTCAAAAAGCGCTTCTTGATACAAACGACTTAGATCACTTTTCACTGTTTGATTACTAGTAGAATATGCAGCGAAGCCTGACCAGCATTGGCTGTTATGTTTGGACACCTGAAGAGCCCGCCTTCATGAGGACCCAAACCCGTCCTAACACGTTCTCTAATTTCGCTGCAAATTTTCTGGACAGGCAATGTTTTCCTACCCTGGTGTATTCAGAAGAGCGTTCTAGGGTTGTTTCAAGTTGTCACAACAGCTAGTCGTTCGAACTTCCTAATTGAAAGGGTATTTGTCGCATTACGACAATGGGCGACACTAAAAGAATGGCCGTTATTGTAGGCATTGATTTTCTCATTACTGAATTTCTGAATAGAGGCGACGAACTTCTTAGTTTGGGAGACCTTGTTTGGAGGATCATCCCTTAGTTATATAATGCAATTCTGCATCCGCTAACTGCTACCAGCGGCGATGAAAAATAGAGCCATTGTTGGGAATGGTGCGGCGAGAGCATTTCTGAAATGAAAGCATTGTTTTTGGCGGTTTGTATTTTACTGATAAGCCTAATGTTCAGTGCTTCTTTTTTTAGGCATTTAGCTGAAGCACTTAGTACTGTCTTCCGCTACTATCTATGTGTTAAAATAAGTCTGATTAGCAGTATTGTTATCTGGAAGAGTTAAATCTCGCGACTTTTCTGATGTCATCTTAGTCTTGAGTATAGCCAATTTTTAACGCAAAATTTATATTTCGTTGTCTTTTTGATAAAACACAAAAGGTTTTGTTATACTCTTTATTCACAAAAGCTGACGCTTCTGCGGATTTCGCCTTCTTCGGGGCCTGGTAAAGTCAAGTTGACTGCAATCTAGTTAACCAAATACCTTCACGAGCCTAACAGAAAAATCACAAAGTTTACATTTCTATCGCACAATCACTCATTTATTCCATATCTCAGACTGGCCTTTTACGTAGGAGGGGCCTATTACCCATCTATATGAACTTTATGCGGCTGGTTTCCACATGGAGGTTTCCACTCAATGCAAGGTTCTCAGAAAGCGGCGAGCGTGCGATGAAGCTACTTTGTTCGCAATCTGATTGGAAGCTTGGTTTCGTGGTTTTTCTGTAGGGGTTATGGAGGTATGTAGCTAGTTAAATTGCAGGCAACTTGACCTCTCCAAGTGCTGACGTAGGTGTAATTAGCCGAAGCGTCAGCTTTTGTGAATAAAATGCATAGTAGCAACCCCGTATATGGTTGTCAAGAAAACGGCGATTTACTGATCAATGCCGAGGTCAATAGAAAGTGGGTCTTGAGAAAAGTTGCTGAGATTAAAATTTGCCATAGTAGGTTTTACATAGTTTTTTATTATTACTGGTTTTACTTATTATTGAAAATTATTTAGGTATTAGATCTTTCGTATAATTTTCTCCAATCTGTGCCATACGATTTACCGTGCCCATTTCCTTCGCTGACAACTCTGGATTTGCGTCAAAATTTTCTAAAAACCTTATATGTAAACTCTTCATGTTTGTCTAACATTCAGTTCTTAGACCTGAGCAGGTTTGTTTCTGGTGTTTTCTACGAGTAAATTCGGTCTTTCAGAAATGAATCACCACAAAATTTTGCTTTCTGCAGGAATCAGTTTTATTCGCTGACACCTTCGTTTCGTCAGTTAGCAACGATGGCACAGATGGACACCTATGTACTGCGTAATCCGTTTCATTGCGATTGCAAATCAACTGATTATATCAGTTGGGTTCGAAACACAAATGTTGTACGTTTCAATTTCCACAATGTTTCCTTAATTGATTTACTTTTATTCTGCGTATGTAACATTTACGATTCTATGATTGCCGTTTTAGACAATTTTTTTTTTTGAGAATTGCCTGAAATTTTGCACACATTCTGTGGTGGGGTAGACGTCTTATAGTAAAGTAGACTCCGAGGTTTTAACATATTCGCTAACATGACACACATGTATTGCAGTGGTTAGAGGCACTTTTCGAATGCCAAGGGGATATTTAGTTAGACCAGGTGTCCGAAAGTAACGATGATCTCCATTCCTACTATATCCCTATCGTCAGTAAATCGGTGCAGATTTATTGGGAGGACAGCAGCACTGATCTTATGTATTATTTAGAACCTGTAGGTTATTTTAAAAGCCGATTATGCATCATTTAATCACCTCTAACGATGCTTGGTGAAGTCGAATGCATGACACATCCTTTAGCAATTCATCAACGCCGAACGCTTTATATTCCATTAATTTCATGAGTAGTGTATGACTCAGACAAGAACCGAAGACAATTTAGTCTTTCCATTTCTCAGCTCGCAATGAGTATTGTCAGTTGAGATAGATGCTGCTAGCTAAATATCTATTTCTATTGCGATGAAATTCAGGTTTTTTAAACTCCAGAAGACGTTTTTTTGTTTTTTTTTCTTGATCTTTCTGAGTATTTTGACCAGAGAAGCGGTTGAAGAAGTGGGGTTTAGTGTTTAAAAGAGAAGAATAACGTTATTCTTATCGGATAGCATGCTTATATGGAAAAATTACTAAAATTTCGTTTTTGCTCTAAGCTTATTTGGAAAACTGAATTTTAAACAGATTTAAAAGAACAAAATAAAAGATGAAGCTTTCGGCGTCGATTAGTCTCAGTGCTGATACCCTCCCAGACAAGTCTGGTACCAATTTATCGCCCCGGAGGGATGGAAGGCATAGCGAGCCATGGGCGCGGAGATCGATCCCATGTGTGTGTGTTCGCGGGGCGCCTCCGACCACTGCGCCACACACGCCCTTTTGGATTCTAAGCAGATTTAAGATTAAGATGACATACATTAAATTTTTTTAGTGCTGCAGTGATCTGAAATATATGAGCACTTGTCGCGTAAGCACCACTGTCGTGAATGTGTTACACAGCTACATGATTATTGAGTACTCCTTTTTGAGAATGGATTCCATTCTCTCTTTTTTTGTTTTTTTCATCATTCTATTTTTAGATTCGCGACAAGCATATGTTGGTTTGTGATCGTGCCAGTCCTCGAGATTTTGTCGGTACTCGTCTTGTCGAAGTGCCTTTACAAAAACTGGACTGTTCAATCAATCTGTTTGTGATGAGTTCATGGAATCCATCGTCATATTTTGTCTTTCCTGTTTTCCTCCTCTTTATCAGATTTATGTGATCCATCGTAACCAGCACCCGTCAACGTATTCAGGATGACCACCACCATGTCGTCATGATTTGTGCAGTTCCCATTTGAGAGACTAGATACTTACAAAATATAAAGATGAAAAAACACCTATCATGAACCCAGGAGTAATAAGAGCAGTTTGGACTGCTTGTTTTGATTCAACGGATGTGAATAACATATTTTCGAACGTATTCGCTTTTGAGTTGCAAATACATTTCTGATTTTACCGGTTTTACTTAAACGTTTAATGGTCATTCAGTTGACTTCTAGGCGGGTAGAACAAAAAAAGTTCGATTTTCATGTTTTTCCTTACAAACCATACATAATAATAGTTTTTTTCATGAAATTTGCTTGGTGTCTATGACGAGGGAATTTTTCGTGTTTGCACTTGCAGAAGGAGCACTTGAATTCTGATTCTTAGGTTAGTTTAGAAACAAATTTCTCTGAAAATCAGTCGCCTAATGAACCTAGTAGCGCTGCAAGTGTTTGTTTTTTTTCATTCTTTTTTTTTTGGAGTTAAGAGTATTTTATCTAAGGTACCTCACTTTACCCGAACCGAATTTTCGGGCTCACCCTTATAATATCGAATTATGGATGTGGTCGTTGTGACTTAAAGGAAGCTTTTAATGTGCAAATGGATTTATCGATTATAATTTACTATGAATCCATTGCGTGTAATCTAAAATGTAAGGCCGTTGTAATCTTCCACAATGAAAACAATTTTTAACGAAAATTATCATCTTGTGGATGAATTATTCACATCCAATATTCTTTTTGTTAAAATCACGAGTTTTTTTACCCAACTCATTCACATTATTAAGGACGGTTAGAAGAAAATATCACAACGGATATTAAAACCTTTCTTTTTGGAGAAAATTTGTCATCATCGGGTATGTGTAATGTCGGCGTTTTGTGTATGGCTGTTACATATTGGGGTGAGTCTTTCCATGGCCGTCGACCAATGGCGATTAAGTGACACCTCATGCATGTGCAGTACAAATGTTCTTTATCTTACTGTATTCTAACTTGTTTTTAATTTTAAATAACTATCTAGTCTTTTCGTTGATTCTTTGCATCAAAGTATTTCCCATATTGTAACGATTATACTGGTATTAGTTCACATTTGATTCGCAGAAACTTGTTGACTGTTCTACCGTTATAGCTAAATCTTGATACTCAGTTTACTTTATTATTGTGTTCATCGCTGTATAATTTACACAATTTCTTGCCATCATTTGGTAGTAAGCTGTTTTGTATCGTTGTCGCTGTTTTCATAAGTAGCTACTTGTAGTTTTCTATCGTTATACTAAATATTTATTCTATCTATATTATCGTTCAAATATACTGAGCTGGAAGGAATGTTTCCCAATACTAAGCAATATTAGGCATATTTTAAATTTATGAAACGTCATTGGAACATAGTTCCAGTCTACAATATACATTTTACGTCTTTGTTTAGATAACCTCATCACATGTCGTAAGGATGCCATCACTTTTTACATTTGCTTCGATGTCTTCCATCAGTCATCCATGAAGGCCTTCAAATTTGCATAATCGTTCCGCTGCTACTTCAGGAATTTATTCTCCTTATGAACGTTGCTGAATTCTGCACGAGAAGATTCTCTCTGGCTCGCAGGTATATTGGAATAGCTGTGCCAGACCGTTCTTAGGTCATCAGCAAAAGAAATCGCCTGCGTTTACGGATTGCTAGGGGGGGAGGGGGTAGTCTAAGATAAGTTTGGCACCATTTTCTTATCTCGAAAAATATTTAGGTCTTGGCTGCCCCGGCACATGGTCGAAGCGACAAACATGATGAAACTATCAACTTGACCTTTCCAGGCTTTGAAGAAGGCGAAATCCGCCGAAACGTCAGCTTAATCGTGAACAAAGAATAGTAACACCTCGCGTTTGCTCAACAAAAATACGAAGAAAATCACTTGATCAATGCCGAGGTTAATAGAAAGTCGGTCGTGGCACAAATATGATGAAAGTTTTGTTGCACACATCTCTAACCACCGCGCTTCTCGCGTGCTGGTATGCATGGAAGATGCAGTCGATATCATTTTCGAAATGTGGCTGATGCTTTCTCAGCTAGTGATTCTTGAGTTCTCGTAACCAATAATAGTCGGAAAGAGCAACGTTCGAAAACATTCCAGATGGAATTTCCGTTATCAAAGAAGGTGTTGTCACAATATCAGGATGATCGCTGTAAAAGGCGAACTTTCTGGCAGTTGGGACGCTTTTTATGAGTGCTATTGAATATACAACTGAACAGCACAGACTACAACCGTCTTGGTGGTACCAGATGACAAGACGCTGTAATACAATATTCTTTCTGAGTCCCATCAGCAAAAGGCAAAGGCAATTATTTGGAAACCTGGCTTGAATTCATTTCATTGTAATTTAGTGCAAATCCACTGTTTCAAATGACCAATTTTAGCCCGGATGGTGTAGTGGTGAAGTGCGCTGCTCCCCGGTAAGGACAACAGCGCGTGTTCGTTCTCCACTGCATACACCTGTGGTCCGGAGTTTTGCAGTAATTTTAGCGTTGAGAGCAAAGTTCTCATATAAACCAACATCTTTCGAAGGGCTTTCCTATGTTGAGTCAAAGCCATTAATTAACAAACGCGGATATTACTTGGTTTTCCAGAGTCTCCATGCTAAATAAAAAATTTTTGTATAGACATTTCGATAACCAAGGTGGTGTAAATGGTTTCCGGTAACCACATTGGCGACCCAGGCGTGAGCCTAAGCCTACACCTATAATAAAGATTAAATCCATTTCTAAAAGTGCTTGCCATTTTGTGAGGTGGCAATAGCATGGTATTGCGCTTCGTCATCACTTGTTGATGCTTGTCATGAGCTTGATCTGTTGATAGCGTTGCATTACTTGGTCACTACTTTACTGTTGTCAGTGAACAGCTAGCTTTATTGTGTTTTTCTTACAGTTAAAACTGCTCGAAGAGTTGAACTGGCGTGGCCTCCACCGACGTAATGGTAAAAAATGGCCCGCCGACTTTATTCGTTAATGCCTGCGAGGTAGTTATGAAACAACGACCCTTAGAATAATGTCGTTTGGTGTGGCAGAACATTCTCGTTAGGGTAAGAGATGGGAAAGAGTTGATTGTCCAATTAGTGCTGCGGTTGCTTAAGTAATGGTATATACTTCCCTATATCCCAAACTTTTATTAGAGAATATACTAGCGGAACAACTCGGTCTAGCCTTTTCCAGGCTTCTTTTTCTAAATATTTTGCTGTTGGCTTTTCAAGGGCGATTCCAAACTGGGACATAGTTCCGGAAACATTTCTCGGGTCAATATTCCATCATTTCACAGGCGAATCGTTCAAAACCATAGAGTACAATGTACTTTGCAAAGGTTTCTTGACAGAAATGAGATTCTTGAGGATCTTGAGGATGCATCTTGGACGTCTGCTGCCGTTGCCAATAAACTATCTGAAGATGTTAACTGCAGAAAACCCAAATGCATCAGCTCGAAAGCATGACGGAAGGATAAGACGCTAGTTTAAAAAACAGCTTTTCAACTAAAGCCCTCTAATAATTTGGTGTGTGGCAAATTCACATCAACTATTTGTTTAATGAAATGGATGACATGAAAACAGATTGCTGCAGCGATACAAGTTCTGCGCTTCTTTGCTTCGTAAACATTACATTTCTTTATGACTGTTTAACAAAGACTAAGTACCAAAGTATCTTTCATGGTCAAATTTGCATAAACAGGATGTTAGAATGAGTACTTGTTGGTCGGCCGGTAAAGACACCTACTGCAACTTCTTCAATTCGAAGGTAATAGCAAGGCCATGAACATGAAAAGAAGCATCATACCTCTTAATCAATTAATTGGACCCCCTTTATTGCACCTCCGCCCCACAACTAAAACCCTGTAGCAGCAAGATAATGGGAAATAACTGCTTTTTCGGCTACCATACAGGACTTCTAAAGTGCTTATCAGCATGGTACTGAAATTTGTCTATTTAAACCGTAAACTACAAAATTTCCTTCAGCTATTCCATTGACTCCACACGATGGCTCGAAACTTGGATAATTAGAGTTCTTATGGCGAGAAATCTATGGCGTTACATAGTTGTCTAGGACAAAGTTTGTTCGCCGGTGATTCAGGTTTTCGGGATAATAAAACTAAGCATGATAGAGTTTAAGGAACCTTTATCGAATAGTAATAGCTGCTAGTGAATGGCAGCAAAGCGACGTAGAAAATGCTTTATTAAGCCTAACTCAAGAACGTAGTCCTACTGTGATGAGAGGAGATATAGTGCGACGGAGAAAAGAGTATTAAGGTGTTAATGAATCGTAATTAACAGCAACGCTTTTAAGAATGAAATTCTATAGTGCTCATAAAGGGAATATAAGAAATAACAGAAATAGAAAAACAAGAAATGACGAATGTGTCATCTTGGGGAATAGGAGCAGCGAGCTGGAGCAATGTAGGCAATCTACCAAATAGAATGCGATAAGATGACCAATAAAGGGTTCAAGTAGTTCAATAGCTTAAATATGTAGAAAGAGAGTCGATGCAATTGCCAATAAGCTCCTAATAATCCTCGTTATGGTGAAAAGTTTCTCACCAGGATTATGTTTTCCGAATAAGTTTATAAGCTCTTCAAACGAGTTTATTAATTAACCCTGTTGTCCTTTATTGAAAATTTGGTAAACACTGATAGGCAGTAGTCGCAGTATTATGCACCATTCCTTGATGGAGTATCATTCGCTCGACCTCATTAGCGAGTGTAATGTCGTCGTTGAAGCATATTCGGCTTACACAACTACTTATAGAGGCATGCCGATGGCTCAAGGCAGTGTTATTACCCTCCGAAAAATGGCCAGCATCCACTTGTCTACCTCAGAGGGACGGAATGCTTGGATAACCACTGAAGTAGGAAAGAACCAACGCACCTGCAGTTGTTGCAGGGCACTTTTATCCCTTGTACTACATGCGCACATACACACCATATAT